TGCACATAACAAATGTGGTCCCCAATCTATTCAATTTGCTCAAAAGTGGACAATTGACGGGTTTTCATCATTTTAGACGGAAATAAGTCACGTGAAAGCATGTGCCTGTACTTAAAATCCTTTTTCCATTTTTTTAAGCAGAAAAACTCATAAAAAACTATTTCCTGCTTTCTGGTGCCCCCATTCCTAATTAGCAAAGACAAAACACACTAATTGTCCCCCCTTTTTCTCTTTAGGCTCCAGAAACGAGAACAAAAACCAGATGAGGCCATGCCCCACGAGGTTGTGAAGTGTTTCTCTCAGAAACTTAAACCCAAAATGTGACAAAAACGGACGGAAAAAACTCGAAAGTTGCAGGTTGCAGCAAAACCCGTTGCCCGCCTCTCTTATGATCTTTTCCTTGCAGAAATGCTCCCTACTATATGCACCAGTACCACACGGAGAGAGCATTGAAAACCCACAAATCTCAACAGCTTTTCTTTCACACTAGTCTCTTTCTCTCTCTGCATCTTCGCTCTTCTTTGTTTTCCCTTTCACATTCTCTTCTTCTTTTATTGCCTTATTTATTATTATTACTATTAGCTCTGATTTATTATTATTATTATTATTTTTTTTTTCTCTTTTAAAGTAGTCAACACCGTGGGAGTAGAAGTAAAGAATCACATCAAACAATTCTTTATGTATACAATTCTTTAGTTATTATGAACTCCTCCCAGTAGTATTTGATTCGCTTTTAGATTTTTAATGAAAGATGATATCCAACAAGGCAGTGTGATGGAGGGCGAGTAGACAGACAAAAATAGAGAGAATAATAAATGGAAGGAATCCTGCTGCAAATGAAGCTAACGCTTACCTCTCTCTCTCTCTCTCCAACCTTCTCCTTCTCCAACTTCTACTGCAATTTTCTGAACCGACCCTTCATGCTTCATAACATAAGTTGAGTCATTTTCCGTTTTTTCTTCGCACTTGATCATGCCCTGATCAAATTCCCGAGTACATGTACTCCTCCATTGGTTTGCTGACCCACTTTTTCCGCTGTACCCGGGCCGGGCGAAAGCTAAACTTTGATTTACTAGCGAAGATCCCACACCAAAAGGCAAAACTATTCTCATCTTCCTCGGCGCGCAGCTCTGGTCCAGTCAAGCAGCAAATAATGTTGACTTGTATAGCTTGCTCTAAGCAACACCTCAATGCCGCATCTCTTCCCAACCCCAGCATGATGATGACGACGACGACGACGACGCCGCCGCCGCTATTTCCACTCCTTCCACTAGATAAGCCATCAAAGCCCTCACTTCTCAAGTACTGTAGTCTGATGTCCATCCATTACTCTGCCTTTTTCATTCTGCTACATAATTCTCTACGGAGTAATATTTTCATTCCAGTTTTACATTTGTTGATCATTAGGCATTATTATTGTGTTTTAGATCAGGGACATTGGAATAAAGGCTTCGGGTACGTACAAGAATTGCAAGCCCTGTTCTGGCTCTTCCAACCACCACAATAACCGCGGGGATGACTACGCCAATTCCGAACCCGGCTCTGTCTCCCGCCGCTATCACCTCTCCTACGCTAGAGCTACTGCTGCTGCTACTGGTAGCTCTAATTCTACGCCAAGGCGGCCCTGGGGAGGGAAATGGAATCCAGATTGAAAGTGCTTTCCAGCGGCGAAACCACGCCCGCCTCTGTCAGCGGCCGGACAGAGTTCGTTGTGTTTATGGAAGAAGACGAGCCCAAGGAATGGGTCGCTCAGGTCGAGCCTGGCGTCCTTATCACTAATTAATATAATTAACTCCATTTGCTAATTGAGTTTTGTCTTTGCTAATTAGGAATAAGGGCACCAGAAAGCAGGAAATAGTTTTTTATGAATTTTCCCGCTAAAAAAATGGAAAAAGGATTTTAAGTACGGGCACATGCTCTCACGTGACTTATTTCCGTCAAAAAATGATGAAAACCCGTCAATTGTCCACTTTTGAGCAAAATTGAATAGATTAGGGACCACATTTGTTATATGCAATCGATTGGGGACTAATTTCGCGCGTTGGTAATAAATTGGGGACCAAAACTCTAATTCTCCCTAATTTCAAAAACCTCCCTTCAGGTTTTTCATAACTAGAAACCTAAATTACTTAGCTCTTAAAATAACTAAAACACACCAAAAACTAATCGATAAAGCACACTAAAAATATGCAAATTTAACACTTATCTCGACTAACTTAGAGCTAGAAATACAGCCCCAAATCTTATTTTCAGCGTGACAATGGCCGTCAACAAACTATGGTACCGTTAGATTTTTAGTAGGCCAACAAATCAAAAGTACCTTTCTCATAATTTGGGGACAGAAAGTTTAGAAATCATTTATTGGAGGAGCAAAGTGAGCAAACTTTCTGAATTGCAGCTTTGAGATGGATGAAGACTCAATTTACCTCAAAGCTTGTTTTTAGCTTGAAAACAACAAATACAGGTTCTGAGGAGGATGAAGAATTACTCAATAGAACGCTAGTACTTTTTAATATCAATAACAAGTATTAATTTTTTATGATATTTGTAATTTACACTACAAGACATGTGATAACAACAACACACACATGTAAATTTGGAACAACACAACCATGCTTGGATTAAGGAATGCCAATACCTAGAGACTCAATCCAGATCCAAACGAATAGGTTTTTGAATCTTTTACACAATCCTATAGACTCAATCCAGATCCGAAGAACTTTTGGGCAGTGATATGATCAATGCGTTCTTCCATCTCACCTGTCAAATAATTTTTCCAATCTCCAACCTTTCCTTTCCGAAAAAACATTTCATTTCTAGCAGTCGGCTGGGTCCCGCTCTTGTTCACCTCCAAATTGCTCAAGTTATCAAAGCTACAAAGCCCCAAAACCTCATCAACAAAACCACATGTCTCTTCCTCGGGTGAAATCGGACACCCCATGAACTCAGCTAAAAGTTTCAGATGAAAACTTGGCTTTTCCTGCAGGGCTTCAAACTTCAAAAACAGGACCTTTTCAGGCTTCTCCAAGCTTTCTCTCCAGTAGCCTAAAACATGATCCCAAACTGGTCCAGAAAGGCTCACTCCCTCACAAAACATGTCGAAAAACTCTTCGAGTGAAGCTTCAGCCCCTAACTTCCTGGAGAAGTGCCAATATGAGACGAAAGTATCCTTAATATTTCGGCATAGGTAGACAATCTTGCAACCTGAATTCAGCACCGACTGGGGCAGTAGGGTAAGTGGATAGTGAGTCGAATATAGTCTTCCCAATGGGCAAGAAAAGTCAGGGTTCATTTTTCTGGTGAGCAAAAAATTCCATGAATGGCACCAGAGAGTGAGGATTTTGCTTGAGCAAAGGATGGTTTTGGTTGATTGGATAAATCTTTCGGTTGGCTAAGGTGAACATAAGGGCCTTCAGCCATGTGGTGCCTGATTTGGGAGTGGTAATTAGTAGGAAATCAGTGTCCCGAGCTTGGAAATGGTTTTGGCATGCAATGAGCCCCGGCATCCCTTTAGGACCGAGCCAAAAGCCATTGTACTTGTACAGATAAGAAGAACCAAACCATCTCTCTCTGGGGAGGGTTGACAACAGGTTCTTGCAGTATTCTTGCATTAGTTCCTCTTGCTTTTGATCTTTTGAGCAAGGGACTAGGGATGCAGTTGTGGACATATTGGCGCTCTAAGAATTTTAACGAATCTACTTGCTCCAAGTTTCATGTCCGTCGGTGCTTTTGTAGACTATTATATAGCTTCACGGACGTTGCATTATATAGACTATTATAAGCACGTTGCATTAGCTGTAATGCACAAAAACAGGGCGGTCTCCTACTGACTTCAAGAAAACTCACTTTAATAAACAACTTGACAATAAAAAATGGACAACTAATAAAACAAGCTCTTAGATGTACAAATCTGAGAGCAGGTGGGCTGTAAACGAATCAAGCCGCTCGCGAACTGGCAGGAGAGGATACTTGGTTTGTCAAATTCTTGGCCACAAAGACCATATTGCAAATATAAATGGACCTTCTTTACATACAAGTGGGATTTAGTACCAACAGGGATTACGTTGAGAATAACGGAAACATGTGTAACAATCATCAAAAACAGACACAGAGAGAGAGCCAGAGCAATACTTGGTCTACATTCTCGAGCAGGCATTCAAGGTTACAAACTGGAAAACAAAATTTCATGTTACTTTATAATGGAGAATAGAGCAGCAAAGAGTTCAGTCAACTCTTTGAAGTATTCTCAATTTGAATATCTTGTTGCCCATAAAGGAAAACAGATAAAAGACACATTGTGCATACATACATTCTACAAGTGAAGATATGCATACAACTTAGATGTGCTTTAGCAAATTAAAGCCCCAAGAAGTTATCAGAACACGCTTTGTATGTCACAATCTGAAACTCCATAACATGGCTTCTTTAAATATATGAACTTATCAGATAAATGATTTGCTTTCCAAGAAAAATCAATAAGAACAAAAGGGACACCCTTAACACAAGGTATGTTCTACTGATTAGCTCCGAAAACTTTTTACTTCAAGCACATCTCCTTCATAACTTCCAAGATACAACCACAGAGAACACCCATGTCACTAATAAGTAACCCAATGCCTGAAATGCCATATGGTCCCAAAAGAATATGAACTTTATATTCTCCTTAAAGCATGTCGTAATAGGTTGAACATCTTTTCTATTTTACAATTATATAGAAACAAAGTCCAAAATTACAAACTCATCATCCTTAGCCTTCTGGATGAGTAAAAGATCCTTTTCTGTGTACAAGATGATTTCAACCAGATGGGTATGTTAAACAATAGCAGTGTCCTTTTAAAATAGTATATTGTAACTTCTATTCTAATTAAGTGTGTGTTAATCATTTGTAAGACTGACAATTCACATTTCTCATATAAAAATACCTTTTAAGAGAACCAAAAATTCCAAACAAGAAAGATATCAGCTGTTATGGAGTGCAATGTGAGTATTTTAAACAATAATCACAAGTTGGCCTCCAGAACACTAAAATTATTAATCAGCAAACTTCAAAAAATAAAGCAGCAATTACCATCCTAGAATAGAATTAAAAATTTGATGTGGCAATGTAAATGTGTGATATGTTCTATCTGTTTCTATGGGTTGCATCTCATCTAATCATGAAGGCAAGTTTATGCTCTCACCTAACATTCAAAACAATAGGCTGTCCATATATGAAATCCACACGAGTGTGGAGGAGAGCACATGCAAAAGCAAACATGGGTCAGGCTATAAGCTATTCAGTTTCATCTCCTTCAGCATGCTTTCTCTTGTTCACCACACAAAGCATATCATTATGGAAAGTTTACTTTCCCCTACTTATCAGCCCCCAAAAAGGTTATCCTATTCAATGTCTTTTACAAATACCTCATCTCTCAGAAGAAAAAATAATATATTACAAAAATTCAAATCCTAAGTTCTCCTTAAATTGGCTGATGAAAAGTCAATAATTCACCATGGCAGACCAAGAGTGAATTTGATCCAGGCACCCAGCAACAAAAAGAAAAGATGCCGACAAATGTAAATACTAAAACATGAAACACACACTGATAAAAAATCTGTGACTAAAGGCGGAGAATGCCGCAAAGAATGACTTACCTTGTCTTCTCAGAAAGCAATGCGATCAAGCCGAAGATGAAAAACATGAGAAGCATTCCACCATGCTCAAAATTATTCATGTGTCCGGAATTCAGCATTCCATTGACAAACCACTTAAGATGGGTAGAATAAAGCAGCTCTATACACATATCAATAAAAGATCCAATTGTTATAACATACAGCTCCAAATACTTGAGTTTCCCATCAAAACCGGGAATAGGATTCCATACCCTGACACGAAAAGATTTCGGATTCAATACGTATCGTTCTATAGAACACCATGTATGCCATATTCCAACAAGAAGAAATAACGTTCCTGGAAGAACATGACCAGGAAATGATCCCATCTTCCAAAAACACAATCAAATGATTAACGGTCTTTTTCTTTTAAATTTAACAGAAGATTACCCTTCTCTAATAACTATTCTCACTCCTGGAAAAAGACTGCAAGTTCTCAAAAGCAAGAACGATGCTGTATCTGCTCTATTTCGTAACCGAAATTAACTTCCAAAATTGACCCCATGTTTATGAAGGTTTCAATATCTTCAGCATAATCTTTCCAAACCAGAATCAATCTCTTTCTGATCACCCCTGTCCTCTCCCTTCTTTTTCTATAAGAATCGTACTACTTTCCAATTATTCCCGCAGAATCAGAGACAGCTAATAACAACCCAAACGGGTCTTCCCCATATCTTCTATTCTCAAAGACAGACAAAATAAACTGCAAAAGATTCTTCTTGATGCAATACTTCACTTATCTCTTTCCTTCTTGGAAACAACCAACTTCCTATTCCAACAAACAAGAGTTTCATTACTTCCATTAAGTACTTCTTGAAAAGAATTGCAGGGCTCAAATATAGCAGATTTTTTTTTTATTTGCATATTTGAGAATCTACAACAAATAGTCAATAATGAGCTGTTATCAAACTTCTTCTAGTGCCGCTCTAAAAGTCAAAAGTCTCGATACTACCAATACAGTCAATATTGGATGCTAAAGAACGAGAAAACAACCTGCACCCACCATTAAAAAAGTGGTCAAGATTAAGAAATAAACACAGCCCAGATCCATTTCCTTCATCAAAATTTGAAACAAATCATAAAAACACCAAAAACCCATCAAACTAAGTATTCTTATAGCCTAACAGACCCAAAAAAAAATGGACAAAAAGGCGTTTTTTTCGGGTTTAAATATTCTTTTAGGCCATTTTTACATGTAACCGTAGAAATAAAGAGAACGGGGAACGATTTACTTACATTAATAATATGATATTGACTATTTGCATGTCATGGATGTGGTGGTGGTTAGATGATCATACAAAATCCAAGTCCGAAAAAGCAAGCAAAAAAAGTAGGCTTTTTTGGAGGGCCACCAGAGCCGCCAACGAAGCCCGAAGGGTAAATTTTTTTTTTTTTAAATTTTGTTTTTTGTATGGGATAGGAGTTTTGATGAAAAAGAAGTGGAAGTCGGCGAAAAGATTGATGATGATGATAGGGATCGAAAATGGAAAAAAAAGGTGAAAAAATGGCAGAATAAAAACTGGAAAAAAAATGATGGCAACTATAAAAGCATGATTGGATCTTTGTGTTTGTGTGTCCATCTCACACGTGCACGTGGAACTATGTGTGTTTATGCGTGTTTGTATGTGAAGTTTTTGACTGGACCGAGGCCTGTTTGGAAGATGAGTTTTTTGAATGTTTATCTAGAATTTTATTGTAATTTATTGTAGAAGTTTTTTAAAAAAATTTTGAAGTGTATTTTTTTTTGAATATTTTGAAATGTATAATTTAAAATTTTTGAGAAATTTTTTAAGATTATTATAACTAAAGTTTTTAAAAAACTTGTAACAGACAAACGTGCAAATAAATCCACCTGAATCGAGTAGCTTACCAGCAGGTTCATTCAAAGCTCAAGTTCAAATTGCAATGATCGAGTTCGAGCAATTCAAAATACCTAATAAACTCCAAGCCTAATATATAAAACTTGAAAACTCGACGATTGCAATTAATTTTCATATGTATATATATATTTGTATAAAATGTCTATTTTATTTCTTGTTTAAAATTATATTAATTTATATTTCTTAAACTTGATTAGATTCAATCTCTAGCAAAAATTTTTGAACTTGAATCGAGTTCGAATCGAGTCATTCGAATCAATTGCATCCCCTACTTTTGACCAAATGAGAATGTGTGTGTATGTGTGCCCGTGTTTGAGTGTTTAGTACTCACTTTAGATGTGCTAGTATACGTACTTGTTCCGTTGATATGCACGTACAAAAGGGATAATTTCAAGGGAGAATTGGAGTTTTGGTCCCCAATTTATTACCAACGCGCGAAACTAGTCCCCAATCGATTGCACATAACAAATGTGGTCCCCAATCTATTCAATTTTGCTCAAAAGTGGACAATTGACGGGTTTTCATCATTTTTAGACGGAAATAAGTCACGTGAAAGCATGTGCCTGTACTTAAAATCCTTTTTCCATTTTTTTAAGCAGAAAAACTCATAAAAAACTATTTCCTGCTTTCTGGTGCCCCCATTCCTAATTAGCAAAGACAAAACACACTAATTGTCCCCCCTTTTTCTCTTTAGGCTCCAGAAACGAGAACAAAAAACCAGATGAGGCCATGCCCCCACGAGGTTGTGAAGTGTTTCTCTCAGAAACTTAAACCCAAAATGTGACAAAAACGGACGGAAAAAACTCGAAAGTTGCAGGTTGCAGCAAAACCCGTTGCCCGCCTCTCTTATGATCTTTTCCTTGCAGAAATGCTCCCTACTATATGCACCAGTACCACACGGAGAGAGCATTGAAAACCCCACAAATCTCAACAGCTTTTCTTTCACACTAGTCTCTTTCTCTCTCTGCATCTTCGCTCTTCTTTGTTTTCCCTTTCACATTCTCTTCTTCTTTTATTGCCTTATTTATTATTATTACTATTAGCTCTGATTTATTATTATTATTATTATTATTTTCTTTTCTCTTTTAAAGTAGTCAACACCGTGGGAGTAGAAGTAAAGAATCACATCAAACAATTCTTTATGTATACAATTCTTTAGTTATTATGAACTCCTCCCAGTAGTATTTGATTCGCTTTTAGATTTTTAATGAAAGATGATATCCAACAAGGCAGTGTGATGGAGGGCGAGTAGACAGACAAAAAATAGAGAGAATAATAAATGGAAGGAATCCTGCTGCAAATGAAGCTAACGCTTACCTCTCTCTCTCTCTCTCCAACCTTCTCCTTCTCCAACTTCTACTGCAATTTTCTGAACCGACCCTTCATGCTTCATAACATAAGTTGAGTCATTTTCCTCGTTTTTTCTTCGCACTTGATCATGCCCTGATCAAATTCCCGAGTACATGTACTCCTCCATTGGTTTGCTGACCCACTTTTTCCCTGGTACCCCGGGGGCGAAAGCTAAACTTTGATTTACTAGCGAAGATCCCACACCCAAAAGGCAAAACTATTCTACATTCTCAATTCCTCGGCGCGCAGCTCTGGTCCAGTCAAGCAGCAAATAATGTTGACTTGTATAGCTTGCTCTAAGCAACACCTCAATGCCGCATCTCTTCCCCAACCCCAGCATGATGATGACGACGACGACGACGACGCCGCCGCCGCCGCTATTTCCACTCCTTCCACTAGATAAGCCATCAAAGCCCTCACTTCTCAAGTACTGTAGTCTGATGTCCATCCATTACTCTGCCTTTTTCATTCTGCTACATAATTCTCTACGGAGTAATATTTTCATTCCAGTTTTACATTTGTTGATCATTAGGCATTATTATTGTGTTTTAGATCAGGGACATTGGAATAAAGGCTTCGGGTACGTACAAGAATTGCAAGCCCTGTTCTGGCTCTTCCAACCACCACAATAACCGCGGGGATGACTACGCCAATTCCGAACCCGGCTCTGTCTCCCGCCGCTATCACCTCTCCTACGCTAGAGCTACTGCTGCTGCTACTGGTAGCTCTAATTCTACGCCAAGGCGGCCCTGGGGGAGGGAAATGGAATCCAGATTGAAAGTGCTTTCCAGCGGCGAAACCACGCCCGCCTCTGTCAGCGGCCGGACAGAGTTCGTTGTGTTTATGGAAGAAGACGAGCCCAAGGAATGGGTCGCTCAGGTCGAGCCTGGCGTCCTTATCACTAATTAATATAATTAACTCCATTTGCTAATTGAGTTTTGTCTTTGCTAATTAGGAATAAGGGCACCAGAAAGCAGGAAATAGTTTTTTATGAATTTTCCCGCTAAAAAAATGGAAAAAGGATTTTAAGTACGGGCACATGCTCTCACGTGACTTATTTCCGTCAAAAAATGATGAAAACCCGTCAATTGTCCACTTTTGAGCAAAATTGAATAGATTAGGGACCACATTTGTTATATGCAATCGATTGGGGACTAATTTCGCGCGTTGGTAATAAATTGGGGACCAAAACTCTAATTCTCCCTAATTTCAAAAACCTCCCTTCAGGTTTTTCATAACTAGAAACCTAAATTACTTAGCTCTTAAAATAACTAAAACACACCAAAAACTAATCGATAAAGCACACTAAAAATATGCAAATTTAACACTTATCTCGACTAACTTAGAGCTAGAAATACAGCCCCAAATCTTATTTTCAGCGTGACAATGGCCGTCAACAAACTATGGTACCGTTAGATTTTTAGTAGGCCAACAAATCAAAAGTACCTTTCTCATAATTTGGGGACAGAAAGTTTAGAAATCATTTATTGGAGGAGCAAAGTGAGCAAACTTTCTGAATTGCAGCTTTGAGATGGATGAAGACTCAATTTACCTCAAAGCTTGTTTTTAGCTTGAATTCAACAACAAATACAGGTTCTGAGGAGGATGAAGAATTACTCAATAGAACGCTAGTACTTTTTAATATCAATAACAAGTATTAATTTTTTATGATATTTGTAATTTACACTACAAGACATGTGATAACAACAACACACACATGTAAATTTGGAACAACACAACCATGCTTGGATTAAGGAATGCCAATACCTAGAGACTCAATCCAGATCCAAACGAATAGGTTTTTGAATCTTTTACACAATCCTATAGACTCAATCCAGATCCGAAGAACTTTTGGGCAGTGATATGATCAATGCGTTCTTCCATCTCACCTGTCAAATAATTTTTCCAATCTCCAACCTTTCCTTTCCGAAAAAACATTTCATTTCTAGCAGTCGGCTGGGTCCCGCTCTTGTTCACCTCCAAATTGCTCAAGTTATCAAAGCTACAAAGCCCCAAAACCTCATCAACAAAACCACATGTCTCTTCCTCGGGTGAAATCGGACACCCCATGAACTCAGCTAAAAGTTTCAGATGAAAAC